TGATGCAGATTGGGCTTGTTTCCCAAATATGCGTCATTCTGTCACTGGTCTATGTGTATTTGTTGGATCCTCCTTGATTACTTGGCAATCCAAGAAACAATTCACAGTCTCCAGATCCTCCTCCAAAGCATAATATTGAGCCTTGGCCAGCCTAACATGCGAAGAAAAATTCCATCCCAAAATATTAGCTAGGAGCTATTTATGGACGAAAATATTTCCGTCTTAAATTTCGTCCCTAATTTATTTAGGGACGGATTTATGGCTTTTAAGGACGAAAATTTTCTATCCCTAATACCAGTTTTTTAGTTGTGGGACAGACCAACTTTGGTATTTTGTGACAATCATTCGACCATTTACTTGGCCCATGATCCAGCTTTTCACGGAAATTCCAAGCATATTGAACTTGATTGCCATGTGACTAGGGAGAAATTTCATGCTTGTCTCCTCCACTTGCTTCCTGTCTCTTTCAAGGATCAATTGGCCGATGTTTTTACTAAATCTCGCCCTGAGCCTCAGTTTCGGTATGCTCTTTCCAAGTTGAGACTCCTTAAATGTCCATCGTCCAGAATCCACTTATTATTGGACCTGATGCACCTGAGTTGAACAATAGAGTTTCAGCGCGCCCCTGATAAAATTACAATGGAGTCTTCTTGCATGCTCCCAACTAACCATGACAGAATAGTTTGTTAGTCAGTTATGTGATAGTTGTAATCATTTTTTTCTTTCGTTCTTTCTTCTTGGCTGATGCATATATTTGAGGCAATAGTGTAGGGTCTCTGGGAATGTGAGTATTAATTTTCGTTCTTCTCAATATGAGGCCACTGAAATTCTCTCCGTTTATGAAGAATAATTACATGGAGATGGAGATAATTATTCAAGAGGACGCCATAAGAAAAAGGTTAAAAGTGGAGGAAAAAAACAACGTGCCTTTTTGCCTAACTTTTGACAACGCTACATGGGGATTGGAGCAAGCCTTAGCTGTCTTTGATCTTTTTCATAATAGATGAATCTAAAATAGCTGCGCTTGACCTTTAGTAGTTGGTGGGTTGCAACTTACAAGTCAGACACCACTTTTCTTTGACTTAAGCTTGCCATGTGTATCCCATTTCAGTGCCAGCCAATTGTCACTTATGCTTCATGCCATTGGCTACTAAACCTACTACCATAATACTCATTCAACATTATCCCTAATTCTTGTCATACAAGTACGAGTATAGTTGGGAAAGTCTTAAGTCAAACAAATTTTTTAGTTAATGAATAATTCAACTTAGTGGGCCTTTGGCCAGAGAAGAAAAAAATAATCTTATAAACCGAAGTTTTTGTTAAACTATATACATTAATATTTTTATCGTGGATTTCTGTTCAAATTTTAGAGGTCTTGTGCACAGCACATACTAGAAAAATTCCACTTCCCACGTTAGCTTCAAATGCCAAAACAATTAGAGGATTTGTTTTGAACTTTCTTTATAGAATATTCTGCTAATTGCTTCTTTCAGTTTGATTTACGCATTAGCACACGCATGCATGGAAAATAAAAGAGATACTTTCTTACTAAATATAGATATTTTATCATAAAGATGAAATAATGCAAAATTAAGATTTATACAAGAATCCAGAATGATAAAGTTGCACTAAATAAATAAATAAATTGGTGCTTGACCTTAACAGGCGCATGTATAGAACTCTTGGAGAACCAATTGGTTTTATGGGGGCCTTTTAGTAAGTAATTCTTTTGATGAGGAAAAGGGCCTTTAGACAGGTAGTAAAGCTAGGACCTTAACTATTTTTAGGCCCAAATTGTAGAGAGCATGTGATTCTAACATACAGTGGGTTGGATAGACTACTTTTAAGTTTGTCTCACAAGGTTATAAGGTTCTGTCCTTCTCAATGTCTGAACTACTAGGCCATGTGCATACCCAAAAATAAATAGTTATAAAAAATAGAATAATATAAACAGTATAAGTCTAATGTAGATCCAAGGCATTTTTATAGTCCATGGTTCCAAGCTATCATCTTAGCACTGCCTCTCAGTGACAAAGTTGGTTTGTTATATACACTAACTGAAACAGTCGAGCAATGCCAAGCCCATAATCTAAACAATAAATTTCGGGTTTTCTTATTTATACCATAGGCACTATCATCCTGATTTATCAAACTCCATCTTCTCATGCGAGTCTCATGAATGTTTTAAATACTAGTCGAGAATTTATAATAAGTGATCAATAGTTTCTGCAATGAAGAAAAGTAGTGCCAACATGTGAACTATAAGAATTACAATAACATGCCAAGGAACAAGGTTATACTGACTAACAAATAGAATAGAATGAGGAAAAATGTCCTGGCAAAGCACGAGACAAGCTAACTAGGCCTTAGGAATCTTAGTTCGAAATTCTTAGCACGACACACTGATCTGTCCAACAGCGATGAAGCCTTAAGAAGTTGAAGCACAAGGGATCACTTTGAGCCAAAAGAAACCAAGGAGTGAATTGCGGAAGAGGGCTTAGGACTCAGAAGTGTGACGGGTTTGAATCTTACCACATGAGACAAATTTGAAGGCCATAAGGGTGAAAGAAGCCAAGCAACAAAGTGCCAATGCATTTGGACAAAAGGATGACCAAAAAAAATCTCCCGGATAAGAATTCAATCATTTGGAAAAAACAAACTTTTATAATAAATTTTTACAATATATTATAAATATTCATAAAGGAGGATCTGTTATGCATAACTCGCTTGGCCATGAAGAGAACAATGGTTCAAAGAGAGAGGTGTCCAATAAGAAACTCCATGGACCTGTGTGGTCTATTCAACATAATTGGGCTTGTTATATATCTATCACACTAATTTTCTTTTATTTTATTTTTAATATTTCTTCATTAGTTCATCAACTATTCTGATCTAATCGGATAGGATTACAAGGTGACAAAACTACTCTTCTATCAAATTATAATACATACTTAAGATTTGAACTCAAAATTACTGATTAAGCTGAAATAATCTCATACCAATTAATTCACATGTATGATGGTGCTTCCCTTTGGTTTAACTAAAATAGCTTTATTTCCATAATGTGAAAATTGAGTCAAAAGCACTTCCAAAAGTGCCGTTTCAACAAAACACTTTGGACCAATGACCGACAGGAGGAGAATCTTCCTATAGTATTTGGTACAGCAAGATCTAAATTTCAAGAGGGCCATATAGGCCACCCCATTATATGAAAATTTGACAAAAACAACCAAAGCAAAACACTTAATAAGCGAGAGTAATGATGATTAGTGATACCCACATCAGCAAATTTCTTTAAACAAATGACAAAAGAAAAAGAATGATGAACAAAGCTTGGTTGGAAAGCCACGCTGTTGTAGGCTTTTTCCTATGCTACAAGGTCCCACCACCACACCATAGAACCTTTTTTCTCATGTGAATAGCCATTGTGGCACCTACATCAGCCGTCCCACAAAGGAAAAACTTGCTGCCTTGCATTTCCTGCCATCCCTAACCGCCCTTCCATGAATACACTGAGAAGTGAGAATCATAGAATAGTAGTAGATTTGGTAGTAGCTACACTTCAAACATTGAAAAAGCTTATTTTTTTTTTAAATTCTATAACTATTTGTCAAAACCCAATTAATCTGCTTTGACCTCTAACCCATATAAGAAACAAAACTTCAGTGCAACCTAGGATACGTAGGCAAATCTTAAAATTCTAAAAATTTGCAGAAGATCTGTCTACGTATCTTAGAATAAATGAACTACCTATATCAATCCATATAAGAAATAACTCTTCCAATCTCATTTTTTTTACCGAACTCGAACTCCAACCCTACATAAGAAAACACATTTCATACTAATTTTAGCTTTTTATTTTATTTTAAATCATCCATCATTATTGAGCAGCCCATAATTTAATTTTGAGTCAGGTAGAATTATAAAGGTAATAAAACTCTCTCCCATCAAATTTACCCCAAACTCAAACTTGAAACCACTGATTAACATTCATAACTCCCCACCCATTAATCCACATACTTCAAGATACATGTTTTATTAGTTGAACCAATAGTTAAATGTGGATTTTTTTTTATTATGGTTGGAGACTTACATAAAGTGGGAAACTATGGGTCCCCATTGGCGTTTACTATTCCAGGTGGAAGGACTTGTGTGGTTCAACTTTCATAATCTGCTTTTCCTTTCTTTTATGCATCTTCAAGATGAGAGCCTTCTTTCAACTTATTGACATTTGACTTTGGACAGAATGGCCTGTGAGTAATGTATGCTTGACATAGAAATTGATACACTCATGCTTACCAATGCTCTCTTTTGCCCATCCTACCAATTTACAAACTCTCGCTACTAGTTTGTATCTTGTCATCTCTATCTCTAGTTGTAATTATTAAAGATATTAATATAAAATTATCATCTGGACAGTGGTTCATTCTTCGTATGGCTTAAGCAACATATCCCCACTTATGCGATCATGTTGCAGGCTGCATACACATGAATTGAATATTTGAAAAATAATTTATACGTTTTTTTTTTCTGGGGCTTCTCTTGGTGCCAAGTCAGCATCTGACGTGGAAAGAACCAAAAAATAAAAAATAAATAAAAAATAAAATTACATGGGACTAAGGAGGAAAGGTGTTCAGGTACCCCTTTAGCTTTAAAGAGTTACCACCCTGGCATTTCCTATGCTTTTGTTTTCCTTTTGGACATTCCTTTCTGCTTTCTGAGTCTCTGCAATAAACACCAACATTCCTTAACAAACACTACCCTCTTCCTTCTATTAACTCTCTCATAAACATCCATTCATCTTGGTCAAGTTCTAGAAGTCACCATTCTGATTTTTCATGATCAACAGAATTTAGCATCATGGTAAACTTTTGAAAAATGAGGCTTTCTTTCTGTGATTGATCTCCTCTCTTTATGTTCTCAGATCATATGTTAACACTTTCTTGCCTTCTTGTGATGGTTCAGGGAACACCTGTGAACATCATAGTTGGATCACAGGTTTGGGTTGAGGATCCTGAAGTTGCATGGATTGATGGTGAGGTGACAGAAATCAATGGCAGAAATGCCACCATCATTACCACACTTGGGAAAACTGTAAGCTTTTTACCTGATCATAAAACTGGAATACTAAAATGCACTGTTTATGACTACAGAAACACTCTGAAACTTGATTAGAATAATTCTATAACATAACATACGTTTCAATGATAGGTGCGGAACTTTGGTTTTGACTGGAATAGCCTGTCTGCTATGGATCCAAATGATTGAAATGAAATAACTTGTAGAAAGAATTATAGGGTGATACATCAATTCTAATTTTGTTTTTTTGTTCTTCACTGGATTTTCCTCAACCAAAGTATTATGCAGAGTCAAAGTTATTGATAAAGCAACCATCTCACCTAAAAGCTTAAGCGGTTAAGTAATGTGCCATCAATGATTTTATATTATATCTCTTTAGTACATTACCTCACGCAAGAGCCCTTTGGAATTGAAAATGGCTTAAAAGTGCGAATATTGCACAAGCCCATCTTTTTTTTGTTCTTCCTTATGCTGACTTAATTCTACTAGAAAGGGGAACAATGAGGATCAAACTCATGAGCTCGTGATCATGGAGTATCTGATACCATGATAAAGCAATCATCTCACCTAAAAGCTTAAGCTATTAAGTAGGCTTTCAATGATTTTATATTATATTTCTCTAACAATTATAATATTATACGTATGTGTTATATGAAATTAATCTAAAATATGAGCATATGTCAACCTATATATATATATAGAGATAGGATCCTTTGACACCAGTGTTAAATTTTAAATTTGACACCTCATCTGATAGCCGTTAGATCAAAAAATATCAATGGCTCTGATTTGTAAGCATGCGACACCATTGATCTTTTTTTATCTAACGGCTATCAGATGAGGTGTCAAATTTGAAATTTGACACTGGTGTCAAATGATCCTACCTCATATATATATATATATATATATATATATATATATATATATAAGAAAAAAGAGATTAAATCCGAGAGATGCTGGTGCAGTATTTGTTCTTATCCTGGTAATAAAAAAAAGGTAGGTAGAAGTAATAACATCGATATGAAATTCTAGCACAATAGCTCCAGCCACAATTTTCAGCTTCATCACCAATTTAGAAGCAATAGGCATATAAATGTAAGTACTAGTCACAGCATATTGAGCAAAAAATAAAAAAGGAAATTATTCTTTTTATCCAAATAAGATTTCCAAGTACAGCTTACAAAGAAGCCACAAATTTTCTAAATAAGAAACCTACAAATAAGATTGTGACCATACAGTCATGTATCACCATACTCATAATTTTGATGCTTGAAGTACAAGCATATAAACTAAACATTGGCATTACCCTCAATTTCAGGTGGTAGCAGAGATTTCAAGTATATATCCTAAAGATACAGAGGCACCACCTGCAGGAGTTGATGACATGACCAAGCTAGCATACCTCCATGAGCCAGGAGTTTTGCATAACCTTGCTTGTCGTTTTTCTCTCAATGAGATATATGTGAGTCACAACCAGATAATCAACTTGTCATTATATTTTATAAACAAATGATATACACAAAAGGAACAAAATCTAACATTTATAAATGAAATAAGCAGACATATACAGGAAACATCTTAATTGCAGTGAACCCTTTTAGAAGACTACCACACTTGTATGCAATCCATATGATGGAGCAGTACAAAGGAGCAGCATTTGGAGAGCTTAGCCCTCACCTTTTTGCTGTAGCAGACACCTGTTACAGGTATAGATCAATGTAGATATAGATTTGGCACAAATGATGATAGAGTTAACACAGTTTAATATATCAGGGCAATGATAAATGAAAATGGAAGTCAATCCATTTTGGTGAGTGGAGAGAGTGGAGCTGGGAAAACTGAGACAACCAAAATGCTAATGAGGTATCTAGCATTCATGGGGGGTAGATCTCGTACAGAAGGAAGAACTGTAGAACAACAGGTTTTGGAGGTGAGTTTGAACTACATACAAATTGTTTCTTATGTAACTAAAATAAGGTATATGTAGTAACATTTCACTTCTTCAGTCCAATCCAGTGTTGGAAGCATTTGGAAATGCCAAAACTGTTAAAAACAACAATTCAAGGTAAATTGTCTAGATATTTTCTCAGGCCACATTTTCTATCGTAATTTTCCACTTTAGTTGATCTTACAAAACTATTGGAATTTGTGGCAGTCGTTTTGGTAAATTTGTTGAAATTCAATTTGACAAGAATGGCAAGATTTCTGGAGCTGCAATCCGTACATATCTCCTTGAAAGGTCAAGAGTTTGCCAGGTTTCAGACCCAGAAAGAAACTATCATTGCTTTTACATGCTTTGTGCAGCACCACAAGAGGTGACCTCTCTATAATTTTCCTGAAAGAAATTTAGTAACATGTCATTAACCTCACAATCTAACTGTTAAAAGTTGCTGAATAGGATGTCAAAAAGTACAAGTTAGGGGACCCAAGGCAATTCCACTATCTTAATCAAACAAACTGTTACGAAGTTTCAAATGTAGATGATGCTAAAGAATACTTGGAGACCAGAAATGCAATGGATATTGTTGGCATCAACCAGGATGAACAGGTATTAGGCCAATGCACCAGTGCATCACATATAAATGAAGCAGTGATTTATTTTTCTCCAAACATTTGATCAAAGAAAATTTCCCTCCCCAGGATGCTATCTTTCGTGTAGTAGCTGCAATCCTCCATCTTGGAAACATTGACTTTGTCAAAGGGAAAGAAGTTGATTCTTCCAAACTGAAAGATGACAAATCACTCTTCCACCTTCGAACAGTTGCAGAGTTACTCATGTAAAAGCTTTGATCCACCTGTGAAATCCATATAATACTTATGCTTCACCTTTAGTGTCTCTTGACATGTTTATGTTCAGGTGTGAAGAGAGAGCATTAGAAGACTCACTTTGCAAGCGTGTCATTGTAACTCCTGATGGTAACATTACAAAACCACTAGACCCCGAGGCAGCTGCTTTGAGCCGAGATGCTTTGGCAAAGACTGTCTACTCCAGACTTTTTGATTGGTAAAAACAAACTAGCCAATAACACCAAGATGTACCACCATTCCTTAGTTAGTTATTTTTACCATAGTGATGTAAAAAGGGAAAAATTTATCGTATTGATTCAAAATCCAAATATTTTATCAAAATAATACAGCGAGACGCGCATGGAGGTGTACGCGTTCAAGTTGCGTATGGGGAGGTACACGATTTGTGCAAAAGTGAATGCGCATCAACTAGGCGGCGGACACTGCAAGTCGCGCATGTGGGGTGTGCACATTCAAGTCATCATGAGGTGGTACGCGACTTGCAAAGCGCTCCAGGTTGCAAACGCACATTCGCTTTTGCACAAGTTGCATACCTCCCTTATATGCAACTTGAACGCACACACCCCCCATATACGTCTTACTGCATTATTTTGTTAAAATAGTTGGTTCTTGAATCCATGTAAGAAGTTTCCCTTTTCACATTAAATGTCAAAAGGCCTGCATTAGTCTCATACTAAAGTCAATCTAGGACATTAAAAATCCAAAAAACTGTGATGTCTGGGAAACGTTGCCTATTCTATGAACAGAACTTCCAGTTTTGAGACAAGGAATGACATACTTAAATGCATTCTTGAAACCTTGCAGGATTGTTGACAAGATTAACAGTTCAATTGGTCAAGATTCAAATGCAGTAAGCATAATAGGAGTCCTTGATATTTATGGATTTGAAAGCTTCAAAATCAATAGGTAAATAGGATAATTATGTGTCAGAAAAAAATTTCTACATCCCTATACTCTAGTCTCATTCTGTTCTCCATTTCAGTTTCGAGCAACTATGCATCAACCTGACAAATGAGAAGTTGCAACAACATTTTAATCAGGCAAGGTTATAACTTCTAAATACTGCTTGAACATCACTATTGCTGCAAATACATAATATAGAAATGCATCTGTTGCAACAGCATGTATTCAAGATGGAGCAGGAAGAGTACACTAAGGAGGAAATCGATTGGAGCTATGTTGAATTTGTGGATAATCAGGATGTACTTGATCTTATTGAGAAGGTAATTAGAGACTAATGTATCACCACTGCTTGTGCAAGACCTTTTCTACCAGACAAAAATTGTGAAACTATTTATGTGTCCTGCATGCAGAAACCTGGGGGAATAATTGCTCTTCTTGATGAAGCCTGGTATGTTATTTCTTACTCAAAAAACTCTGAAAATATTCAAATGACAAAACAGATAAAGATATAATATGCCTGCAAAAGAATTCCTCAATACAGTAGTGTATGATGATAGAACTTGGACAGACTTTATTTCCCCGCTAAATAGGAAGGAAAAACCAAGAAAACAGGTGAAAGTTTGATTTATTTCATTGATTTCTGCAGCATGTTCCCCAAGTCTACTCATGAGACTTTTGCACAAAAGATGTACCAGACATATAAAGGACACAAGCGCTTCAGCAAGCCAAAACTTGCTAGAACAGACTTCACAGTTAACCACTATGCCGGAGATGTAAGCTGAGTAAATTCTAAATTTTTTTGTTGGCAAACCAGTCAAAAAAAATTAGAACTTATAACTTCTTGTCATAAAACCTTTTGAGTACAGGTCACATACCAAGCAGATTATTTTCTTGATAAAAATAAAGATTATGTGGTAGCTGAGCATCAAGCACTTTTATGGGCTTCAAAGTGCCAATTTGTTGCTAATCTTTTCCCTCCTTTACCTGAGGAGACATCAAAGCAATCAAAATTCTCTTCCATTGGTTCACAGTTTAAGGTAAATATATTTCTATTTCAAAGTTCCACTAGTTTCTGGAAACTCTCAACTCGTCAATTTCTTCTGAATCAAATCTTAATATCTAGCAACAACTACAATCTCTCATGGAGACATTGAGCACAACAGAACCACATTACATAAGATGTGTGAAACCAAATTCAGTTTTGCAGCCAGGAATATTTGAGAACTTCAATGTCTTAAACCAGTTAAGATGTGGGGTAAGTTAGATTTTTCCTATTGTCTCTGAAATGTTGTATGACTGTTCAGTGAATTTGAGAAATTCTCCTACGAATGAAATCTGCATCACTACCCTTGCAGGGAGTACTTGAGGCAATAAGGATTAGTTGTGCTGGATATCCAACAAAAAGAACATTTGAAGAGTTCCTTGATCGTTTTGGAATGCTAGCCCCTGATGTCCTTGATGGGTATAGATTATTCTAGTCTACAACAAAATGAAAATGATGCATTTTTTAACTTCGATTATCGTATGGCATTCACACCTTCAAGAAGATAGAGTAAGAATGATGAGTCAAAGATGTAAAACAATCTTTGTTCTGTTAAACTACTTAAAGCATCACTTGAAAACAACATTAAGAATAATCTATGATGTAGTTCCTACCATAAAGAATCCATTCAGATTCACTTGAAAATAGATATCATAGGTCTGTATCTCTCATTGTCAAGTCCTAAAAAATTTATGTTGAGCTTCACATACCCATATGATAATTAATGCTTTCTTCTGTGCAGATCTGATGAGAAAAAGGCATCTATCGCCATCTGTGATAAGATGGGCTTAAAAGGCTATCAAGTAAGTCTATACATGAAAAAACATGTTATATGGAAGCAAAAGTCATAATTATCCATAAATTTTCAGGAATTTGTGTTATAAAATGCATTTTCCCCTAATGTTTCAATTAGATGGGGAAAACAAAGGTATTTCTCAGAGCTGGTCAGATGGCTGAATTAGATGCGCGGAGAGCCGAAGTCTTAGCTAAAGCAGCTAGACGCATACAGAGACAAATCCGAACACATTTAACAAGAAAAGAGTTCATCACCCTGAGAAAGGCCACAATCCTTATCCAGAAGATTTGGAGAGGTCACCTTTCTTCACAAAATAATTGTATTTTTAGTACATATCCTCCTTTTCCTTAAGTGCTTAGTTGTTATGGTTCTGTCCCAGAAATAACTGACATGATTTACTTTTCTTTTCCCTTCGTTATTTCAGCAAAACTTGCTCGTAAACTCTATGAGCATATGAGGAGGGAAGCAGCTTCTATCCGAATACAGAAACATGTGCGTGCACACAGAGCAAGAATGTATTATACATCATTACAAGCATCAGCTATAATTATTCAGTCAGGGTTGAGAGCATTAGCAGCACGGAATGAATATAGGTACAGAAGAAGAACAAAGGCTTCAACCAAAATTCAGGTAAACAAGTCTTTAAAAGGAATATCTAACCCCAAAATAGATCATGGCAAGCATAATGAAATAATTTGGAATCCAAAATATGTTTTCTCATTGAAATCTAAATTTTTATGAATAAAATTTTTAAGATACGTTAGATATGAGCATAATATGAAATTACATTGCTTCTCTTTTACATTGATAGTTTTAATTATTCCATTTCATTTCTGAGAACAGACACAATGGAGAAGAGTCCAAGCTCTTTCTGATTACAAACAGCAGAAGAGAGCAACTGTTACACTTCAATGTCTCTGGAGAGTTAAAGTAGCAAGGAAAGAGCTCAGAAAGCTTAAGATGGTGAGTTCTACTTTTATGTATCACTTTCTAGAATTTTATGCCAATTCTTTGAGAATATCTATAAGAAAAAAGAATGTTTCAAAATTAGAGGCATGGTAACAGTTTTATGTTCCTGTGCAGGCTGCAAGGGAAACCGGGGCACTTAAAGAAGCAAAAGACAAATTGGAGAAGCGTGTTGAGGAGCTTACATGGAGATTAGATATTGAAAAGCACTTGAGGGTAGGGACTTTCAACTAGTTCTAGGTGATATACAATAATTGGATTCAAGTAAAATGGGTAATATCAGTAAAATCTAAGGGTTTATTTCTCATTCAAAATAAGATTTTAGTAAAAGATTTTAATCCTTGATTAACTGAACAGTGCACACTATTCAAGATAGTAATGAGAAGAAAAACCTTGATTCATTCATAAATCTTTTTATCCACCCCATCTAATCAGGAAAAAATAACTTGCAGATTGACCTTGAAGAAGCTAAAGGACAAGAGATAGCAAAATTACAAAATGCTTTACAAGAAATGCAAGCTCAGCTAGATGAAGCCCATGCTGCAATTATACAAGAGAAAGAAGCAGCAAAAATAGCAATTGAACAAGCACCACCAGTAATTAAAGAGGTGCCTGTTGTGGACAACACCAAGCTAGGGTTACTGACAAATAAAAATGAGAAGCTGGAGGTAAATCTAAAATTTTGTCACCTAGATATTTAGAAAGTTTTACTTTCAGCAGTAAAATGGTTGAACAATAAAATTACATCAGGTAACACCTATTTAGGGCATATAAAGCACACCCTATTGCTGGAGCTGATTCTGAGAGCAATGGTAGTCCATCAAATGATGTTGTAAAGAATTTATAAAAACACAGTAGGAGTAAAATTTAATGTAAAGAGTCCACATACAAATATGTTATTAACCAACTACTCCAAGAACTTAAACTCTTGGAAGAAACCACGTGAATGATTTTATATCTATTACACAACCTCATGCAAGAGTCCTTTGGGCTTAAAGTGCGGCCACTGCAAAGGCTCATCCTACCTTCTGTTGAAATTTTACTTTTATTTAGAAGAATAGGGGAAAGAGGGATTGAACTCTAGACCACATGGACATAAAAGTTCTGATACCATGTCATAAACAATCCCTAAAGCATAAGTTGTTGGGTAAAAGCACATAAATCATTTTATATCTGTTAGAGAATAGTATAATAAACCATTAAAAAGCCCTCACCCACCAGCTTAAACTTTTGGGTTGAATTGGTTCTTTACATGGTATCAAAGCCTTATGTCCCAGATTCGATTCTCACCGCTCTCCACTTTCTCTTGTGGAATTTCTTAGCATAAGTAGATAGGCCTGTGCATTGTCCACCCTTCAAGCCCGGTGGACTTTCATGTGAGGGGGCTTTCGTATGATGCACTGTCACAGCTGCAATACTTTGCACCTCACACTTAACATGATGACAAGTAATTAAATTGAAGTTTTGAAAATACAGAGTGAAGTAGAAGAGCTGACAAAGAAGATCCAAAAGTTTGAAGAAAGGTACTCAGAAATTGAAAACGAGACTCAAGCAAGGCTGAAAGAGGCAGAAGAAGCACAGCTTAAAGCAACACAGCTTCAGGAGACTATTGAAAGGTTGTTATCTAAATGAGTCACATAATATCTCTACCATCATAAACTGGCATTGACTATCTATTCTTTATTACTCCAGATTAGAATTGAGTTTGTCAAACCTTGAGTCTGAGAATCAGGTTCTATGCCAGCAGGCTTTGGTAGAATCAAAAAATGAAGAACTTTCTGAAGAGATCAAAACGTAAGATCTAATATGCTATTTGCACCATTTATTATTATTTTTTCTGCCTGAGTGAAATTTAGCTGCCAGAGACAATGAGCATAGCATGGCTGCACTTGAATGTAGCTAATCCATAACTTTATATGCATATTACATGATGAGATCCCTTCTTTATGGGTTTGAAGTTTTGATGGACACAATTCCCTTAGCAAGATGGTAATAGTCAAATGACGCGCCAAAATGGGCCCAGCATAGGTCTAATAATTGTTCGTGTTGAGAATATTATAAATAGAGTAGTTTAGTATGAGTCAAAGTCTCACATTATATATTATTCGTTTGTATTTTTTTTATTCATTTATATAATATTAAACAACTAATTCAACCAAAAAATTTAACCTGAAAGGTGAAGGCAGACGAAAGATTTTATATTTTTATTTTGTATTTCTAACAGTTTCATCAGATTTAAAAAATCAAATGATAACAACAGAACTATGGAAATCATGACAAATAATTCTTTCCTTTCATTTTAGAAGTTTTTAGTATGCCGCAAATTTACACTATTGGTTATCTTGCGTTCAGTACTTCCATAGATAATGCTAATAAGTAAATAATTTTAGTGGAAGATTTCCAATTAAATATCACTGACAATTTCTACTCCATAATCAGGCCATAATATGCTTTTCTATTGTGTCACATTAAGTGATTTACTCACCATAAAATTGAAAATTTAGGAAGGAATACTTTAGCATAAAACTGAAACTAACATATAATGCCAGTAAAACACTGAAAAATTCATTCTGTTTCTAGCCTCAAGGGTCGGATAGCAAATCTAGAATCAGAGAAACAATTTCTAAGGAGCCAGGCAGCAGTTGCTGTAGAGCAGAAAGTTCATCCAGAAATAATAGAAACGGACCAGGAAATTACTGTTGTAGAACAGATTCAGCAAAGAGTTATTGTAGATAATATGGCAGCACAAAACAAGGTAAACTACTTCAAGTTTTTCCTTTGAATAATTTCATTATGTGACAATTATCTTTTGTGATGATGCAGAATTTGGATAATGGAAATCAAACTGAGGAAGAAATGCATGCAAGAAAAGTATTTCAACCTTACTTCATTTGCTATTTAAGAATTTCTGTGTAAGTAATTGATAACAGTATGTTAATTTAAAATAATAAAATTATGTTTCCAGGAACCAAGAGCACCAGTCTCCTTTCTTACAAAACAAAGATCACTCACAGACAGGCAGCAGGTATGTTTTTGAAAGACAAAACCAAGTCAGGGAAAGAAAGTATGAAATGACAGGGATTTAGAGGGAGACATAGGGGTGGGCATGGTTCAGTTTAGTTCTGTTTTCTATGTTGAACCGAACCAAACCGATAATGCTGTTTGATTTTCTTAACCGAACCACTTCAGAAAAAATGGTTCAATTCTTAAACCGGCTTTAAGAAAATAGTTTAATTCTTAAATTAGTTAAAAGAATGTGATTATTTATGATGTGATTTGGTTCATATGATTTCCTAACACCCCTAAGAATATGCATGTAAAGTGGTTCGGTTCTATGATCTGAATTGATTTAGAAAAAATAATTCAGTTATTAAATTGGTCAAAAAATATTAATTTTTAAATTAGCTCAAAAAATGTGGTTATATATGATATAGTTTGATTCAATTCACGTTTCATTTGATTTTTTTCACACCCTTAAAGCATGCAGTTGCACACTAAAATAAATGGTACCTTAAAGTTTTCATATCTCTTGAAAACAGGAAAGTCATGATGCACTGCTCAAGTGTCTCACAGAAGATAAGCGATTTGAGAAAAACAGACCAGCAGTTGCTTGTATTGCTTACAAAGCACTTCTTCATTGGAGATCCTTTGAAGCAGAGAAGACACATATATTTGATAAAATTATTCACTCTATCCGATCATCTATAGAGGTAGCATCCTCCAAGAACTTTTTTAACACACCAACAAAGATTAAGGAATTCTGGATAAAACATCATCTTTTCAACCTAAAGGTAATCAATTCATATTGTTGTGTGAAAGTAATTTACCATTTTGATGTCCTGGCAGAGTCAAGAAGGAATCAATGATCTAGCATATTGGCTTTCAACAACTTCAACACTTTTGTTTTATCTACAATGCACACTCAAGGCCAGCAATACAACTAAGGCAGTGTCAAGAAATCGAAACTCACCTGCCACTCTATTTGGAAAAATGGCACAAGTAAGCTTTTCAAAAGTGAAATTTTTTTCATTGCATTGAATCAATGTTAAAAATATAATGGTGCTTGATATATACAAAATCAGGGTTTGCGTTCATCTTCAATGGGGTTGGGGATTTCAAGTGGCTACAGTGGAATGGTGGACAAGCCTAATGAGCAATCTAAAGTGGAAGCCAAGTACCCTGCCATTCTATTTAAACAACATTTGACTGCATATGTTGAGAAGATATATGGAATGATCCGTGATAGTTTGAAGAAAGAGATTAGCCCATTCTTAAATTTGTGTATTCAGGTAAGCATCATGTTTAAGAAAAACATCACAAGTAGAACAGAAAATTAGATATTAGTTTATCAGATAAATCTTTCATCACCATTGACAGGCACCAAGATCCATAAGGACAAGATCAATAAGAGGGTCATCCAGAAACATCCATTCAAATATAGTAGCAAAACAACAGGCATTGCATATGCACTGGAAAAGCATTGTCAACAAGTTAGATCATGTCTTGGGTATACTGTCTGATAACTATGTAAGCATGAATTACTCACTCAACATTTGCTTTGGCTTGGTTGTACTTATCAGAGAAGAGATTTCCTAATATTCTACATCTTGTGAGTTTAGGTCCCTCCAATAATAACAAGGAAGATAATTAGTCAGGTTTTCTCATTCATGAATGTCCAACTCTTTAATAGGTGAGTAGAATTTCCATTCAATTACACTAAACATCTTGGAGTAGTAAATGTTGATTCAATTTAATACAAATTCTCATAAAGTTATGAAAACTATGGTGTGGCAGTTTGTTGCTTCGTCGTGAGTGCTGCTCCTTTAGCAATGGAGAGTATTTGAAGGCAGGTTTGCATGAGTTGGAATTATGGTGTCTTAAAGCAACAGATCAGGTAACTTTGGATATTTTCCATTACCTATGTCTAGACTTAAAAGGGCATAAGTGCAAGAGACTCATTTTCTATTGCTTTTTTTTTACCCCCATTTTTTGGGGTTTACTTTGCAGTTTGCTGGGTCATCATGGGATGAACTCAAACACATACGCCAAGCTGTGGGATTTCTGGTATACTTTCTTGGATCAAGATTAAAGAGAATGCACTCTTTATTCCCCTCTTCCTCAATATTCAACTTTTAAAATGCTCCCTTTATGCAGGTTTTGCATCAAAAGACTCAAAAATCTTTGGATGAGATCACAAATGAACTCTGCCCGGTGACTTAACTAACTCATCTATCAAATACACCACAATGCATAATGAGTATCTGACATAGTTTTAAAATTAGCTTGTAGGTTTCTGTTAAGAATGAGCTTTTACTTTGAATTTTATCTAAATCACATGTTTAAAGTTGTAGGAAAAGAGGAACGATTCTAACTCTTATCAATTAACCTATCATTTATTGTTTTGTTGTTCCCTCTATCAGGTGTTAAGTATTCCACAAATATATCGAATTGGAACTATGTTCTGGGATGACAAATATGGAGCACAGGGATTATCTCCAGAAGTAAGTCCTTGTTTCCTCCACCATGTTTAGCTCTATAGCATGTTTGTGCACATGTTTTCCAAGCATTTGACTTCATTTAATGTATGATGAAAACTTGCAAACATTATGTTTGCCTGATAAGGCATCATATTCAATATTTTTCTTTCTCTACAAAAGAAGAAGAAGAAGAGATTTCTGAATTAAAGAAAGTCTGAAACTCGAATTCAAGCAACCACATCAGTTAAAATACTACACTTGACAGATTTGCACCATAACTAATTATTACACTGATGGAGAATATGAAGGACAACCAAGGAACAAAACTTTCCAGAAAATAATTATTGATGATCATCCTCCAATAATAAGATTGAAAACCAAAGAGAGATAGTAAACCTTATTGAGGTGGTCAATAAAAACCTAATTGCACTAGGACAATTAATCAACACTTAAAACTGAAGAAATCATTTTTCTATTACAGGAAATAGAACAACAATATATCCTAACACCAAAACAACTAACCCTAAATTCCCAATGACAATCCCTGATTCTCAAACTCTACATGAATCAATATTTCATAAAACTGAACTGACATACATTATTATCACAATACCTTATCCCAAATGATAACTAAACATCTTCAAATAAAATTCTTTCTTTTTTTTTTTATCCTTTTGACTATTGTTTATTACAGGTCATTAGTAGAATGAGAGTGCTTATGACAGAAGACTCAATAAACATACCCAATAACTCATTCCTTCTCGAGGTGGATTCCAGGTAATTAATCATTTACATTCTCCTAGTTCCATTTTTATATTTTTTTTTTTCCTTTTTTACATTCCAAATCTAGAGGGCGAGTCTAGAGCAGTGGTAAGTCCACGTTCAAGAATTGTCTTCTCTCCACCTTCACTAGTCGGGGTTCAATGTGGAATGGTTATTATTGTTTTATTTTACACTCCAAATCCAAAAGCCACTTCCCATCCAATTTGCTGACAAGCTTTTTATTGCATTGGTTTATTGTACAAAATTCAGCATACCATTCTTAATGGAGGAGATGTTCAGGTCCATGAGTGATATCCGTCTATCAGATATGGATGTGGATCCACCACCAATCCTCAGGCAAAGATCTGATTTCCAATTCTTGTTGCAACAAATGGATAGTGACTCTCAGTGAGCTAGTGAAAGTTTGGTGCTGATGCATAGTTATAGTTTCTGATTTGCATTGATTTCATTTAATTTAGGTATGGTGTTAAAGTGAGTAATTGAGTGGTGAGGTGAAGAGTTGTAATTATTTTATTTTATTTATTCTATTTTTTTTTCATTTGTTTTGGGGAAGTTACTGTTTTTTATTTTTTTTTCAATTATACATGTAAGGCTTCTTCTCAAGGAAGGCCATGGTGAATTTTGACATTATTGTATAATGTTGCTTCAAAAAGGAATGAAATGAAGGGAAGTTTGCGTTTAGTTCAGAGACTTAACCCCTTTTAGTTTCAAAATAAGGGAGGCCAATGTAATATTATTATATGAAATAGGATCCTTTGACACCGGTGTCAAATTTTGAAATTTGACATTAAATCCTAGCAGTTAATTTTCGCCAATCAACGGTTATCATTTATTGGGAATTAATAATTAATTAATAAATTTAATTGACAATAATTATAACCGTTGATTCACAAAAATTAATGATTAGAATTTGGAGTCGAAATTTAAAGTTTACCTGCAATTTTTTCTACATGTCTTCAGCGGAGGTTCATTTAAAAATTTTATCATTAATTTACTTTCAGCTCCTTCCACTTATTAGATTTGAATTGTATCCCCCAATTTCCATAATTCCACCTTATTATAGCATTTCATGCATGTGTGTGTGCCTTGCTTATTATCAGTGCAATTCTGGCACTCCAAATTATAATCTTTTGAGCTTTAAAAGAAACAAAGGAGAAATTACTAAGATACGCAGCTGTCCACACCCAAATGTAACACATCAGTTGCCCGAAATAGATTTAAGAAAAAAACAGCCAATAAGAAGGAAAAAATTGAAAGAAAGAAAAAATTGTACCATTTCTCGATGTGTGTGTCCCATCCTCGCAGGGCCATGCTAATCTTCTCCGATTGATCCAAATTTATCGAATGAGATGGAGAGAAGATGCAGCGCTCAGTAAAATATGGAATGGTAAAAGTTAAAACAGAATATAAAATGGTAAGCTTTGTGCGGGCTACAGAATGGGATAAGTCATTGCATGTAATAGAAGACACAAACACACTTATCAAAAATAAGAAAATGAAGGTTGAATTGAAATCTTTATGGGCGTGCGGCACGAGGGATGCTTTTTTATGCAACAAGATAAAAATATGAGTTTTATAATTCAATTGAAATTTTTTTACACACTCTCTTCGATTTCTATACTCACATGAGTTTTATATATAATTTTTCTAATATATGGGTCTCACATACTTTTTGTCTCTACAACATAAGATTTCAATTCTCATTCAACATGAGAATTATAAAACCCTATAAGGGTTTGCTTTCCTCATGTTGCATGAGAAAATAAACCCTTTCTACACATACTGTAGAAAGGTATGTCACTCTTTTTTTTTTGTTTTTTGTTTTTTTAAAATAGATGGGTCCCACACTTGACTTGATGTATCTATGATACGAGATTAAGATTTCCCTACAATATAAGATTTATTTTTATCATCATTAATCCATATTTGTATGGTTATGATTTAGTAGCAGGAAATAAGATTATCTCAAGCAGCTTGAGAAACGATAAGCTCATATATATATAGGGGTTTACATTTCTGCAGCTGTTGTACGTGCAGCAATCAAATATTTGTCGTATATATACTTGAAAGCATTAAATGCGGGAAATCATAACCATACAAAGGATGAAAATATTTAATGTGGAGTATCATAATCATACACCTGTCGTTGCTGTACGTAAAGCGGCTACAAAAATGATTTTACCATATATATAAAGTGTGTTTCCTTTGAAAGGACACAAACTTAAATATTTTTAAGAGAGAGATATACACAAAGAGGTGTGGGTCCCACTGAAATAAATATAGACTAAAAAAAATAAAGGTGTGATTCTCATCTCTTTATGTCTATCTCTCTCTTAAAAGAATCTAAGTTAGGGTGAAGCTAGATGTAAGATGAAGGATTGCATTTACCTCGGTTCGCCAAGATTCAGATTCGGATTCAGACTTTAGGATCCAATCAATAAGAAGATAGTGAGAAGCCGAGAAGTGATCTTTCATGAGAACAAGACTATTGAAGACATCACGAAGCCCAAAGTTTGGGTTATTGTCTGAGGTGAAGAACCCGACTTTTTTGTCCGAGCTGAAGCAGAGGGAGAAACAAATGATGAAAATAAAGATGATGAAAATGAACAGGTTGATGAAGTCCAAGATGATGAGATATGAGATAATAAGGTCCGAGTTGAGTATGATGAGCTGGACCCTAAACTTGAAGAATAACCCAGATACTCTACTCGAGTGAGACGACCTTCGACTAAGTACCCACCTGATGAATACATTGTTGTTGCTGAAGATGGTGAACCTCAAAGTTATGATGAGGCTGTGACGAGCTCAAACAAAGAAGAATGGGAGAAGGAAATGCAGGACAAGATGAAGTCTCTATATGGAAATTAGACTTATGAATTGACCGAGCTGCCTCAAGGAAGACAAGCTCTGAAGAACAAGTGAGTTTACAAAATTAAACATGAAGAAAGCGGCCAGAAGCCGAGATACAAGGCTAGAATATAGGTAAAAGGTTGCAATCAGAATAAGGGGGTTGATTTTGAAGATATATTCTTTCCCGTAGGGAAGATGACTTCGGTCTGAACTGTTCTAGCAATGGTGGCTTCGATGGACCTTGAAGTTGAAAAAATGGATGTAAAGATGGCATTTCTTCATGGAGACCTAGAAGAAGAGATATATATAGAGCAACTTGAAGGGTTCCGAGCTCCAGGACAAAAAGACTTGGTATGCCGGTTGAAGAAGAGTCTATATGGCTTGAAACAAGCACCTCGGCAGTAATACAAGAAGTTTGAATCCTTCATGAATGATCACAAGTTTGTGAAGACAGAGGCCGACCACTGCCTATTTGTAAAGAGGTATGAGGCCGAAGATTTTCAGATTTTGTTGTTATATGTTGACGATATGCTGATTGTAGGGCAAGACAAGATGAGGATAGCCTCCCTGAAGAAGGCGTTGAGTTTGTCTTTCGCGATGAAGAACCTTGGCCCTGCAAAGCAGATTCTCGAAATCAAGATTATTCGAGACCGACCTAAAAGGATACTGTGGTTGAGTGAATAAAAAATATTAAGAAGATTTTGAAGCGATTTAGCATGGACAAGGCCAAAACAGTGAGCATCCCCTTAGTCGGACATATTAATCTTAACCAGAAGCAATGTCCAAGATCTGATGAAGAGAAAGACGAGATGCTGAAGATCTTGTACCAATCTGCCATCGAAAGTTTGATGTATGCAACGGTTTGTACGAGAATCGACTTGGCGTATACTATTGGAATAGTAAGTCGGTATCTGTTCAACCCAGGCAAAGAGCACTGGGAAGCAGTGAAGTGGATTTTCAAGTATCTCGGGAGAATGACAAATTTATGCCTCCGATCAAGGAAGCACGGACACTTGTAAAAACAGGAAGAGTCGTGTAACACCCCGTGTATACCCGGAATATTAACATTACATCGTATTAAACGGTGCTTAATTAAAAATGCGGAATATTCTTTTTCTTTTCAATTATGACGTCATTATCAATTACCAACTTGATTACTTAATCAATTTCATAAAATATCGCCTGTATGTAAATTGCAATAAGACATCTACTGAAATACCTCAATATATAGATAAAGTGTGTATCTAAATCACGGCATTACATCAAGTAATCCGGACAATATCCTGATACATCATTACAACTCCAAAAGACTCAAGACATACCCAAGACATAATAATACTAGGTGTCATGGACAATCCCCATGCTCACCAAATAAACATAGTAACAACAAGTCTCAACATAAAACTTCATAAACATAAACTGAAGCTATAAGCATAAGGAGCATGCAAATCCAGCATCCAAACATGGCAGCATAATATAACAGCAATCTAACTCAGCTCCGGCCTCCTGCCGCCTGAGGTCTCAACATTACCTGACCCTGAAATAAGCATTCCCCAAACGTGGGGTGAGATCTCTAAACTAGAAATCTCAGTAAGACAAGGGGTCCTCAAGGATCTTCCACCCCAAGCTCACTTACATGTGCAATATAAGTTCAAAAAGCATTTATATCAATATCAGTTCCAAAACTATGTAGTGCAACAGATATCTATGGCATGTGTGTAATCACTATCTACTGGCCAGAGAAATGTAGGAATACGTCTATTCCCTACATGTAGTACAAGGAACACCGCTTGCACCTCACCCACAGCCTCACTCTCTTGTATGTTCTACATACTCAGGTTTACCGTATAGGTGGAACACCACATGCATATCATAAAGGCACTAGCATATAAAAGCTCAACAGCATTTGCAAAACATTAAAAGCATGTAACACAGCATGCATATAACCATACCCCCATGGGACATGGTGGAACCACAACATGGCTAAACCGAGGACACGAAAGCTTACCTCTAAGCTAGCTATCCAATGCCACAAGCTCAAAGTCCAATCACAGCAGATCACAATCTGATATGGACCAAATATAAATCAATAAACATGTACCACATGCATACACATTAAAGACAACGCCTTTTCATTACGTTTTCAAGTCTTAAAGCTTCTAACAAAGCCACAAGCCCTTAATCCCATGATTCTGGCTTAGTCCATTAAAAACAGAAGTTCAACTTCAACAATCTGGGGTCTTCAAACCCCCAATCGCCTACTGTACGCACAGCACAGCTACTGTTCTGCGAAATCCCAGAATATGCGGATACTCCTCGGGACCATATCCAGATATGCAATATCCAGATATCTCACTGTACATATCCGGATATGCAATATCCGGATATCCAGAATCCCATATCCGAATATACAATATCCAGATATCCCCAAAACCCCATATCCGAATACACATATCCGGATATCATATTCGGATATCCCATATCCGCATATTCCACGGGCAGATATCCGGATATTTCACGACAGAATGCAGTTTCTGCATTTTCGTGAAGATATCCCTTAAAGGTTCCCTTTTACCGATTTTAAACACCTAATCATGCATTTCTAGGCGTGTTCAACATTTCCCAACAACAAGTTATCATCTTTTAACCTTAACGTGCATCAAGCTTCCATTTTTAAGCCTTAAAACTCAAGATCAAAGGTTGATATACATACCAAGGCTCAAAACTCAGAATGAAGATGCTCTTGGAGCTCAACATAGCCCCTCAAGTCTGACTCAAGGAAGATGCACGAAAATGGCTTCACAAAGGTTGGTTCTTTAACACAAAGGTCACCACTTGGACCTCCAAAAACCAAAACCAAGCTTCTCTCAACCCAAAACCAGCAAGTCAGCAACCAAACCTCCCTCACACAGACTTCACAACTCAGAAACAACACTACAAACCCCTTCCCAAAGGTGACTCTCCCTCACACAAGTGTTTAAGAAGAAGAAACCACAAAGAACAAGGAAGAAATGGCTCCAAGACTCTCAAGGAAGAAGAACTCAGCAATGGAACAGTACCAAGGTGCACTCAGCCACCAAGTCACGTATAAAAATCTGATCCTAGGGTTTTGTGCCCATAATGGGAGTATTTAAAGCCAAAACTAACTTAAGCACGCAGTATTAACTTTAATTGCTACGCTTAGCATTTTAATCCCAAACTTTGGATTATGAAACTACATACTTTTCTAAGATTTATCATATTTTTCTTATATTTTTCTGAGCAACTTTCCGGTACGCGCTTTTCCAAGGCCAGTACCGGTTTCTAGCACCAGTTCTCATTATTTGGACTTGAAACTCGTTTTACAAGTCCTACACATTATTCTAGTAATTATCATGCTCTTACATTAATTTTCCGGGATACTTCTTCGGCACGCATTTATACCGACTAGCAGAACCGGTATCTGCACTTTTCTTCCGAAAAGCGACTTTCAGCATTCTTAATCACTAATTATGATTATTAAGCTTCAAAAATAA